ACACACACAAACACATGCACTCATACACACACACACTCACTCACTCACTCTCACACACACACACACAAGCACGCACACACAAACACACGAGCATTAAACTCACGTCTTCTGCCTTCGATAACAAAGCGTCTCACCGCAACGTCAAAGATTTTTTTTTTTGGGGGGGGGTGTTTATGTGTATGGTTTCTTTGGAGGAAGGGGGTGGGGATTCTTTATTAATTTGTATGACACTACCACTAACGTTGCATTGTGTATGCTTATTACCTCCTCAGGCCGAGGAGTGAGTCGGACATCCTCGAATCGTCACGTTTCGATGAAGAGGAAAGTGACGGAGAAGAGGAATCTGGCATGTTCACTCGTCCCGGATTTGCGAAAATCTCCTTCCTCCCCAAGCACGGGTTTCTTAGTACGATTCAATCATTTGAAGAAAATGGCCTTACCAATGGAAGTCCGGACGTCAAAAGACTGTCCGGAGATGGCGAGGAAGAGGTGGACCAGGGTCAAGGTTACGATGAGAAAAGCCAGGTGCTGCCGTGGGACCAAGATGACCTAGGGAACCTTGACGATGACGCAGAGGAGGACGATAAGAATGAATTGTCGGCCATTGAAATGTTTGTGTGTGCATGTGGCTTAGCTAGTTATTTACATATTTTTTCGAAGGAAAAGATTGATATGCCTTTATTAATGAGCATGACGGATGAGGAATTTCGGGAACTTGGGCTGCCTTTTGGGCCGAGGAAGAAACTGAAAGAGGCGATCGTTAGACGGAAGACAGTTCTTGAAGCCCCTACTAAAATGACAGCTTCCCAGTTGTGATCTATTACTCCGTTATACCGCCTTAGAATACAAAAAGCAGTATATCAAAGGCTTTTGTAAGGGAAATAACCCCAAGTAGTTTCAGAAACAGGGTAATAACTTGAAGAGAATCGGATATGTGCCTGTTTTAAATGAAATTACCGTACGTTTTGCATTTTCAATTGTGCCCATATGCAAGCTCGTAATTTGAAGGAAATTTCATAAGTAAAGCATATTAAATGAAGCTCTGTCATATCCCACCACTCACACACCTGAAAACGCATGTTTGCAACGAGCGTCTTTATACATTTTTCTTAGTTAAAAAAAATAAATTCTTACATTATTTATTGTTTCACCAAGTCAAGTCCATGACCATGTAAGCTGCCTAGATAAACAAGAAAATGTATACTGAGTCAAACATTTCCGTGAGTGTTATATAATATATATAATATATATAATTTGTGTGTGTGTGTGTATGTGTGTGTGTGTGTAATATATATGGGCATGTATGTGAACATAGATACATATGTGCCCATCTGACCTCTGATGCAGTTGTGAGCGCTGTAAAATGTTTACCAAACTAAACTACCAGATATATATGATGAATATATATAAATCTACATACACAACAGGCGCACACCTACCTATATAAGACATATTTTCTTATGTTTTTACAAAATGCTTTTTTACGAATACACAGTTGAAAAATTTGATACTTGAAGTTCTTGTGTCATTGATGTCAACTGAAATAATATTTAATACAAGAACTTATTATGTTCTGTGAAAGTCGCCGATCAGGAAGTATATTAAAGAATGTGCAAACATTTCAGTCCCAAGAAAGGATGCTTGTAACTGCTACAGATATCACTTAACATGTGGATCAAAAGTGGTTCTGAACAGAAAAGTATCAAGGGGGCATTGATCATTCTGATTTTGTTTGTTTTTGTAGAAGGACGTCAGGACGACATTACAAGATCGTTGGTCTATTTTCTTCATCAGAACGTTGTAGTTTCATTGCTTTAGCTTTTTCTGGTTGTGGTATTTGAACAAAATATGCAAAGTTCACATTTCTCGGTTGTTATTGATGTGTTTCATTTATGATTTGTTGAAAATTTGCTGAATTACATTTAATTTCTTTTTGTAAAGGTTTTATGCCCATCTAGACACAATATATTATACTTATTAAGTCATTTTAAAGAACGAGCACCGCACCAATGCAGTGAGGAAAACGTTCCATTAATGCTGGCAACGAGTGTTTGATTTTGTCAAATCCTGTGATAAAACCGGAATCAAGAGACCGTCACCTATTAAATTGTTTGTAAGAGTGAATATTTCAGTGATCTTTTGTTTTGTAATGTTATGGCTGATTGCCCAACAAGCGTGTGTTTGTCAAAATAGAAGTCGACCGCACTGATCACTAATGATGTTCACAGGTTTGTGGTTACTTTGATGAAACAAAAGAACTCTGATGTTGTTAATTGTATATATCACAAGTCCTTGAGATTGGTATTGGGTTACTGGCTAACCGCTCATTTAAACTCTTTTGTGAGTCGAACGGGAGAAATAAAGACAAAGAGAGAGAGAGAGAGAGAGAGAGAGAGAGAGAGAGAGAGAGAGAGAGAGAGAGAGAGAGAGAGAGAAAGAGAAAGAGAGCACGCGAACGTGTAATCGTATCTGGGTGTGTTAGCGTATGAAATTTAAACTCTTTGAGTGAACCAGAGATTCTCTTCATACATTCGCTCATCTTTTGAGGAAATAACCACCGTCACTGCCCCCTTATTGTTTTATTACTAAAGACGTGTAGACTATTTTATCAAACTGGTCAATTTGTGTACTGTTCCTGTAAAATCTGTACGTTAAATCTTAATTCATTATTTAAATGGTATGTCTGAAGACGACCGTTTGGTTAATATCCTGTCTTTATCTGTTAACAATATATCGATATAACTTGAATATAAGTAAAGAAAATATATCAGAACAGTGTTGATTAATCAAACCGAAAGGGGGAACGTTACTATTGATTTAGCGTACCCTGGTAACGTGTGCCTTGTTTTCGACTGTATAAAAGCACACGCTACATGGACAATGTGGAACGCGCTTTCCAGGTGCTGGCATATTTTATACAGTGTTACTTTGTCTCTTACCATGTTTTATAATTTCTTAAGATGTGTTGCACATTAAATTTGATTGAGATTTGCAAATGCCCCCCCCCCCAAAAGTGTCTAAAGGGATGTAATGGTTGAATTCCACTCAACATGGACACCGTAGGGGACATGATAAAAGAAATGTTACATCAATTTGATTAACCCTTGGAAAATATTCTCGATATATTGATTCGGTAAGGAGTAACCCGTTACAGTTAACTGACTCAAAACCTACCCGTTTCAGACCCCACACTGTGCACTGTAAGTAGGGACACAGCTGACCCAAAACTATGAAGTATGTTGTAGGAGCTAATTTTGTCAACAGACGTTGTGTGCATCCCATTATTTTACCTAGTTCTCAAACTTATTTTTCAAAATGACGAAAGTTTGAGTGTTTAAAAATATGACATAGACAAAAGCCTTAGTCATGGATTCTAGAACTATATCGACCAGAAAGACAGCACAAAATGAAATGATGTAACTTTCCGAATGCCCAATTAAGCAAATCCAAAAGGAATGGAGGCTGTTGTAAAGTCTGATTGATGCAAGAGGAACCACAAGGTACATATTATATGAAACAAAGAACTATTGCTATACAACCACGCAAAGATATCCACACTGATTCCCTCATGACAACATGTTCAATGCATTCTTGATTTACTTGCGTTTGATTTGATTTTGTTCTTATCATCATTAATACAAGGTCTCATTCTCGATGTCACCCGACAGCCATATCAAACCATCCATAATATAAGTATACTACATAATATTTATTGTAAACTATAACCTAACCACCAATATATATATATATATATATATATATAAAACATGTGTACGTTTTCCATCAAGTCGTTTACGAGTGACAATGTTTCTGAATGCTTCCAACTTCCAATGATAACTTACCCCATCAAAACATAGCACCCACCGGTGTGAGTAGGTTGCCCAAATGAAACGCCTATGAGTCATGCTCGGATCAATCAGATACTGTAGAAGATTGACATATTATATTACTATTATCCTTACTGCTTTGTCATGTACGTGGAAAATTGAATACCGATCAGTTCTTATGTCTGACCCATTGTTATTTTTGATCAGCGACGGCTGGACATTTATGGTGGTTTGTTAGTCACATATTATGTATATAATCTATTATTCTATACACTAATTTATACATTTGATGATCTACGCCACTGGACAAGCCAAAATGGTGCGTTCTGCTTACTCAGATGGTACTTGAATAAACATTGCTGTTTTTAATTTTGTGTTTGCCTTGTGAGAATTTGTGCATCAGAATGGTTTAAGATAATACTCAAATCAGCCAGTATGCTGAGCTAGAATAGATGTATTGCATCACCATACAACGGTAGGAATTTCACAGAGATCGGCTATTGGAAAATATTTTTAAAAAACACGTTTATTGGTTATATTGAGCCGATAAAAGATCAGAGGAGAGCCTCTCGGCCTCTTTAGATTCTCTCACTGTTCATGTTCAGAGAGTTGAGACGAAAGCAGAAGACAGAACATTGCTAGAGAGCAGGAAAGGAGGTTAAAGGAGATAATTTTAGAGAAGAAAATGTTTTCGTCGCTACCCGGATTCGAACCCGGGACCTTTGAATGAGAGGCAAACACAACCTCTAGGTCACGAGAGCCCCTGTTCATGTTCTAGACTATACAGCCTTTACAGAAGTGGTCAAGTCCTATTATTGTCGTACTGATTTTTAGGAAAGTATTTATTCATTTTTCTAGTACATTGTGCATGTCTGAAATATACAGACCATTTAGCATTATATTTTCACTTGTGACCACTTTTGGTTATTACTGGGTTTTTTTTAGATTAAGAAACTACTAGACAAGGGTAAGGCATTTGAAAGCGGAAAACAAGGATAAATGTGAGAAAGCGTGGTGAAATCAGGCGCGAGTCAAGATTCTAAATAATCAAGGTGAAGAAACTGGGCATTTTCCAACAAGTTTGTGAATTTTTATCTAATTTTTGTTTTGGGGCTCATGTCCAGTAAAGAACACATTTCTGGGTGAATTTTACTGGAAAACATTGATTAAAGGCATAAAAAATGTGCATCTTCAGTTTCCAGTGACCCTCAAGCTAAGGAAATAACTAAAGTTTGGCGACCATTCTCTCGCCAATGTTACCTCTGAAACCAGGTGACCCAACCTCCTTCAATCGCCAATATCTCGACTTGTATCCAAGATCAAAGGATATTTTTTTCATCCAAAGCAAGACAAATGAACAAGCTTTAAGAAGATACCAACAACTCCTCACGCCCAAAAATTGACGAGCGCCTGATTCCAACACGTCGTGACACAAATATTAAATTGAGAGGTAAACTATTTTTAGATGGTTGAGAAAAAGTAGGATCCTACCAGATTCGAACCCAAATCTCATTCTTGGTTTTTGAGCTATTATTAAAGTAGGTCTCTCGTAATGAGCTGAACTGAATACCCAGGGTAATCATCAACTGTAATAACGAATATATACTAGTTTAGATATGGATGAATGAATGAATGAATGAATGAATGAATGAATGAATGAATGAATGAATGATTGATTGAATGAAAGAATGAATGAATGAATGAATGAATGAATGAATGAATGAATGAATGAACTATTATTGATCTGTGGAGAGAAGATTTACATGGTTATGTACTTGAGTTGACAACAAGTTCATCAGTGTATACTCTCTCTCGCTCTCTCTCTCTCTCTCTTTCTCTCTCTCTCTCTCTCTCTCTCTCTCTCTCTCTCTCTCTCTCTCTCTCTCTCTCTCTCTCTCTGACAAGCACTCAAAGACATGCGTTTATAAAGCTCTGCACTCTTGACCACTTGAAATGTCTTTTCCTGCTTATGTGCGTATTATCTGTCGAACATAATTTCCTACATAGAAGGTAGAAGATCAAGTCCAACTTGAGTAATAATTCATCTTTCTCACCCGTCCTAGCATGCTTGATCTCAGTCGGGGTACCAGAGTGACCAATATATTGACTTATTGTTCTCAGTAGTCTGGGACTTCCAATAAGGAGAAATAACTTCGATCAAGAGTGGTTTCCTATACCATGGGCTTATAATATAATATACGTTCAGACTTAGAGGAAATGTTTCTCGAGTGTAATCATTCAAAACCCTTTGGAGGAGGGCTTTCGTGGTATAGAGGCGCGGAGTTCAGCTCTCATTCAATAGGTCCAGGATTCAAAACCTGACAGAGTCGGAGCATTTTCTTCTGTGAAATGTGCTCTCTAACCATGTTCTCTCTTCTGCTTTCATCTCCATGTTCGTCTGCTTTCGTTTTCACTTTCTGCGCCCTCCCCTCTCCCCTGTTGCCCCGCTTCTGGGCTCTTGACTTTTACTGCAGCCTTCCTACTGCTACTCCTTGGCTCCTTACGACTGACGACTGCTGTCTTTCAGCCACACTCCTGTTCGTAAGGTAGGTAAGACCTAACACCCAGCCTTCTCGGAGGTCCCTAGTGCAAGTTGCACTCGTGAATGATCCCTTGGAGGCTTTAAATTCGATAAGAGTAGGCATCGTTCGCCATCCGGACCAAGTTCCAAATTAATTTCTACCAAACTGAAAATGCTTAATATATCATCATCAGGCGCTCAAATGACATTATGCAGTTTAGAGCGCAGTAAGACACTTACAAAAAAACCCCAACAACTTTAGTGTCATATTCTTTCTGTCTACTTGCACAACAGTTCGCATACCTTACCTTCCTACCTGTTCGCCTACTTACCTTCCTGCACCTGCCTCCTTACTTCCCTAACTATCTTTTGATTGTGTGTGGGTGGAGGGCTTCTTTAATGAAGGCGTCTAACTGAAAATGAAAACATTTCAACATACAAACATATTTAAAGTTTAGTTCGCTCTTTGCAAAATTGTCTAATGAAATAATCTAATATTGGAGAGTTCTCAGCCACTCCACTAGAAAGTGCCGCGCCCGGTAATTTGAACTCCGTACAATAAAGGCAAATGTCCTTCACAAAAGGCTACACGTCTTAGTAGCCTACATGTCTCTTTTTTGCCTTGTGACTTTGGCTTTCCCCTTTCACCAGCGTGAATATTACCAGTAGTAGGTAGATCTGTACCATTTGGAAAATAATTGCTTTTGTCAACATTTAGAAACTGAATTTCAATCTCATGCTTCTCTTACAAATGTCGCCAGTAAAGTAGGTAGATTCTATTAAAACCGCAAAAGTTGTAATCAATTTAATAAAATCTGTCAAGAATTATTTAGAGACATACCCTCCTATCTACCTTTTTACCTGTCTGCCCATCTATCTATCTATCTATCTATCTATCTATCTATCTATCTATCTATCTATCTATCTGTCTGTCTGTCTGTCTGTCTGTCTGTCTGTCTGTCTGTCTGTCTGTCTATCTGTCTGTCTGTCTGTCTGTCTATCTATCTATTTATTAACAGGTATGTTATTATTCGCTTTTGTCCGCCCGTTAGTTACTTTGTTTGCTTGACTGTTTTCCTTTGTGTTAATTTTCTTCCCGATGCACAGTATAAGGCATGGGACTGTTAGTCACACTAGGGAGTTTATACATTCTCTGGTCGGACATACTTACGTCATTTGCTCTTATCCTAACAGCCCAAATAAAATAATGTTCAGCATAAAATAATAAAAGCAGGATAGAGGTGCTCGAATACCCATGCGCAATCAATAATAATGAAAGGAGAGAATCAAGAGAATTGTAAACAGTTTCGTTGAAAAGAGTAGTTTCCCTTATATTCTTGATCATAATATTTTAGTAAGAAACTGTCAGAGCGAAGAGTCTGATGGATATCGTATGGAGTAGCGGTGATAACTAAGCATTATTATTTTGAAAAAAGTATGGATGGATGGATATTCAAAGGATCAAAAGACCTCAAAATGTACTGTGCTCTACTGGCCAAGCATGGCCGTCTACTAAAAAAAAAGTTTTTCAGGGAAATACTTTCGCTGAAATACATCAATCTACTCCATATTTTGAAACTGAAGATAGCAAAAAACAACAACAACAACAACAAAACCCCACCCCCTCCCACCCCCAGTCAAACAAAGAAACAAAAACACATTCACATCAAAACACTAGTCTACTAAGCAACATTTTCTCTGAGTTTTTGTTAAGGAAGTTGTTAGGGGACTGTAGCGCTACCCATTGAGTGCTTTGTGCACAGGGGGACTGCAAAGAAACACACACACACACACACACACACACACACACACACACACACACACACACACACACACACACACACACACACACACACACACACACACACACACACACACACACACCAAAGCAGTCGGCAATGAAACCAACCTCGCGTCGCCAAGTGACGTCAGCAAAGCGGGCTCGCCACGGCGAGGGACAAAAGCCCACAGAAGGATTGCAATGCCTTGGAAATGGAGAATCTTTAGTAATACTAATACTAAGCGCACTACTAGATCTAGATCAAAGCCTAGATATTATGGAAACAGACTGCAAATTTTTAAATTGAAGAAGAGTAGACCTACCATGTAGTGTAGTCTGCAGTCTATGTCATAAGTACTACTAGATCAACAAACCTGTCGACATAAATGATAAATTCGCCTTTAATAAACGGTGTTTGGCTCTAGATCTAGATTTTTCTAACCATACTAATTAGCTTAACTAGATCTAGATCTTTGTTTCGTTATGCATCAGTAGGATCTATATTTGTCTGATGATGGCTTGTTCAAAGGTTGTTCCTTTGCAGTCCTCCAGTGCACAAAGCAGCGCTTGGGGACTGCACAGTCCCCCAGTGGGTAGCGCAAGGGGATCCCTAATAACTTTCATTCTGAATTTGATGCCAGCACTCATAGGTATACAACTTAAACTTTTTGCCAAATATGTCGACGCACTCGCCGTTAATGTGTTACAGTAGAAAAATGTTCCAAGAAACCGCAGTTTCAAGCTCACGTCCACAGGGTAGAGGAGTCCCTGTGGAGACAACGTAAGCCCTGCTGCCGGGAGCTGACACGCACTGTTCTAGGCCGGTCAGTCCAGTGTGGACCAGGTTGATTAGTCCTGCGTTTATTCGGTCGAATTCACGTGGGAACAAATATAAAATCCCGTTGTGGATCAAATCAATGTTAGAAAGAAAGGGTAAGTTAAAAAAACCCACCTGCCTCAACGATGGGTATATTATGTTATACGCTAAGCTCAGAACAGACACATTGGGTGGGAATCGATGGGATGTAAGACAAATGAGTTTGTTTTTAGATTAAAATTTTTAAGAGG